TTGAAACCACATGGGGAAATGCCCACATAAATGCTAAAGTTTATTTCATTGCTGCTTGCTTTTCTGAACTTTGACTATCTATATTATACCGTGCTCTGTTATGCTAGGTGTCTATCCTGGGAGATTTTTTTTCCTGCAGCCTTGCATGGATCAGGATTTACACCAATGTGAATGAGAGTAAAATTGGGCCTTTAATTATCTTTCTCAAAGATAAAAAGGTCTGTTGACTTGGAAACCGTGGATAAAAGCATAAAGCAATTAGTGGAGACAACATGGAGGTAATTCCTAGCAATGTCTCTAGGGGGAAAAATGTTTGGCTTCAATGCACAAATTGTTTATGTACATTGCCCTGAAGTTTCTACTTCTGTAGCAAGAGAAGACTGATAATAAAAGCTGTAATAAAATTCACCCCCCCCAAAAAAGGCCTCAAAAATTGGCAAAGAACAAGCAGACATACATAAAGTATTAGTCTTGTGTATTAACAGACCTCTATATCTCATGTGTATTGTTGGGTAGATATAATAATCTCACTTTTAAGATCACACAGATTAGCAGGGGAAGTCATTTGCAGGAATGTGTGAATACTTTCTACAGATATTTCTCCTTTACCAAAAATATTTCATATTCAGGGCATTTATCCACAAAAGTTAATGCATAATTTTCAGAAGGGTGGCATTTTTCAAATGTTTTTCCTCAGTTCATATCCTATTGTAAGATCAGTTCCTTTCAAAATATTAATTGGTTTTCTGTGTTCCTACCTTTCCTTGTCCAAATGTTGTCTGTCTTGCTGCTGCAGATGACATAAGACTGTTACTAAAAGAGCACTTTTGTGTTCTGTTGACTTTTTTTCCCTCCCCCCCCCCCCCCATGGATCCACAACAACAGTTTGGAAACATGCAGTTTTATTTGGGATGCTAATCTGTAGTTGTAAATATCTTTATTGCAAAAATTGAACCCTAGAGGTACTCATGGCATTTGCATCCCTAGACATTTGGGAACTGAAGAAGGAGAAAGTTGCTTTGTTGAAAACCAGATGCTTGTGAAATGTTGTACAAAGTCACTGGTTCTCTTTGGTGGAGAGGGAGCCTGGTTTAAGATTGAATCGGGTGTCTTCCCATAATTGGGCAAGTTGTGTAACTGTCACTTCTTTATTCTATGTATTGAATAGGGTTGCCGGACTGTGGCAGCCAACATATGAGTGTCATTTATCAATGGTGAGAGCCAGTGTGGTGTAGTGGTTAAGAGCGGTAGTCTCGTAATCTGGGGAACCGGGTTCGTGTGTCCGCTCCTCCACATGCAGCTGCTGGGTGACCTTGGGCTAGTCACACTTCTTTGATGTCTCTCAGCCCCACTCACCTCACAGAGTGTTTGTTGTGAGGGAGGAAGGTAAAGGAGATTGTTAGCCGCTTTGAGACTCCTTAAAGGAGTGAAAGGCGGGATATCAAATCCAAACTCTTCTTCTTCTTCTTCTTCTTCCTCTTCTTCTTTGGTCATCTGAACCAGCTCTGAAAATTTTGCTATCTATAATGCACTTCGCATTATGTTGTGTTCTTGGCTTTGTATAAAACCTGGTTAAATTGAAGGCCTGGAAAATGCAGCCATATTTTTCTCTGTGGGTGGCATTCTGGATTGAGATACATGCAGGATGAGTTAGAGTGGGTTAACTTTAGTTTTGTTTTTCCCCCCCTGTTGGTTATAATGAAACCAAATGTAACAAAATGCAAAGCTCACTCTTTGACTGTTGCAAGTAAATCCTATCACAATCCCACATTGAGGCTACTAGCCTTTACTCACTTACCTGGAAATAATCCCTACTAAACTCAGTGGGCCTTATTTCTTGTAGAAAGCAGTAGCGGTATGGGGATGTTCCAGAGTACAGTGGTACCATGATTTAAGACCGTAATCCATTCCGGAAGTCCTGTCTTAAAACAAAGCGGACTTAAAACAAGGCTTGCTTTCCCATAGAAAGTAATTGAAAATGGATTGATCCTTTCTAGACAATGAAAAACACCCCCTAAAACAGCAATTTAGCATGAATTTTACTATCTAATGAGACCATTGATCCATAAAATGACAGAGATGGGTTGGCAAGAGGAGATTTTTGGATTTGTGAGACACTGGGGAACATTCTGGGACAAGCCAGACCTGTACAAAAGAGACAGACTTCTCATTAGCCAGGATGGAATTGGACTACTGATGGTTTAAATAAAGAAGACCGCAAAGCAACTTTTAAGCTGATTGTAGGATGAATATATTTCTTTCTTATGTCGATCTTGAACAATGGGGCATGCCTCATACAATAAATTAAATATACCCAAGTGTTCAGGTTACTGGATGTGTACAGTGGAGTTTTACAATATTCTCTGTTTTCACATGCATTGTTGACAAAGTTCATAAGGAAAATCTATTTTGTAACAGAAAGAAAAAATACAGAAGTGCATTAACAATGTTTGCGCTAAATGTAAGAATGAACAGTCGTGTCGTTTTACCCAGCAACAGTTCATATGACAAATTCCATAATAGATTATGAATCAATGAGAAGATCTAAACTACTATCTGGCAGAGCTCTTTTAATGGCTAATAAAAGATGCTTTTTGAGTCGAAGTATGTAAAGAACTGTAGACTCAAGCGTGAGACTGCAATTGTTCATAATGAAATAAATTGGTACGCTAAGCTCTGCAGGGCTGGTGGAACCATTTATGCTGTAAAAAAGAAGAGGAAAAGAGGTGAATTACTCTGTTTTCAGTGTACTACTTTACTGCTCTGTGAGGTAGAGGGAAAGCATAAAGGAACCTGGAGTGTGAAGGTTATAAAGCTTTGCAATTTCTTCATTGAGTTCTGACTACTTCTAATATGTAATGCATTTGTTACCATTTTGCTTGAGACACATGTTTATGTGCCATGGGTGGGGCACCTGCAAGGCATATTTCCAAGGTTTTCAAAGCCAAGGGCTTTCAATGCCCCTTGCTCTGTGGGTCCCAAGCTTGGGAACCCCATGCTAAGGATTTTGACAGGTGGGCATGGCGATGCACCTGTCTGTCATGTGACATTATTATGACATCATAAAAGAACCCTTTTAAACCTTTTAAACAAGGCCTTTGGTTGATTTGATTGACATCCTATGCCCTTTTAAAATGTCATGGGTTTTTTTTGGGGGGGGGATTATTGCGTTTTTATTTTTATTATGTGTTTTCTGGTTTTATATTTTGATTTTTTTCTGTAAACCACCCTGAAATCTCCAGGTATTATAATTATCATTATCATTGTCATTATAATGTATATACAAACCTATACCCAGGGATCTCAGGCCGGTGCAGAGAACAGGGTGGTGTAGAAATTCAATAAATAAAATAAAATAATCCAGAAATAATGCTGATGTTGATTCAGTTGCAAAGGGCACACATTGCTCTGAAGACCAGTTGTTGGAAAGGTAGGATGAAAAATGTGTTAAATAAATAAATCTTCCGTTGGGGCACAAATAAAAGATGAAAACTGTATGGGCCATACCCAGCGTTAGTCAAACTCTAAGTATATGCACCAAAATCAAATTTAATCCACTTATGTTGATGTGTTTGCTTTGAGTATGACAGTTGGAAATCAACCTATGAGTGTCAGGGGTGTCCATCTGAATTTGTATCACTATCTGCATGATTCATTAATACATTTTTGTAATTAGGTGCCTGATACATAATTCAGGACCGATGACTTGTGTGAGCAAGCCATTACAGATCAAACACCAGATGTGCACATTCTGAACAGTGCAAAGACTGGTCCCTTGTTACTCCTGTTAAGGAAAAAATCTAGGTGCGAGGCTGCTCAGTCACCCAGCTCGTCGGGCAGAGCCCGCGAGTCCCTGCAGAATAAAGGAAGGATTCCAGCCACCAACTACAGGAAATAGCTGTAGACCAAAGTTTATTGCGTAATAGGTTCAAAGAGCAAATTTGAACCCCGAAGATGGGGTGACAAAGACTTTTAACACTTTCCCACCATATCCCAGAATACAGTTCGTACAGCATCATTGCTACATAATTGCTACATCACTGACATGTCACAAAAGGGGAGGGGTTAACCTTGGCAAACATGTCCAGACAAGTCCTTGGTACAAGATTAGCATAAGCAGACATGGCAGGGCAAGACTCAGGTATAAGATTAGCATAGACAAATATGTCTTAAGTACCCACCACCCAAAAGTACAATAGAAGTTCCTTTGCATGTCTGGAGCCTGAGGCGAGTCAGGTGATGAGATTTGGCTTCCTTTGGCTAACAATGAGCCCAGCAATTGTCACCTCTGGGAACTTCCTGGAGTCCTTTTTCAAGGGGAAAATAGCTTTGGAATGGAGGAAACTGGGAAAGGAGATGATTTTATATTATTTTTAAAGCTAGGTAACTTCCCTGAGCTGTCAAGTTGAAAGGATACATTCCGGCATAATATTTGTAATATTTAACTTTAAAGATGTGCCCCCCCCCCCAGTAATTTCCGTAACACTCCAGAGGGCAGGACTAGGCATACTGGATTTAAAATACCTGGGATAGATTTCAGTTGACCAGTGGTTGCAATGGTATAGCACTCTGACAATGAGACCAATTGCATACATGGCCAGTGGCTGTGCTGAAGGTTTTTCAAACAGAGGCTGGATAACCTGTTGGGGGATGCTTAAGTTGTGGATTTTTTGTTTTGTTTTTAAGTTAGCAGAAGGATTAGATTAGAGGAGTGGACCTTCAGGGTCCTCTGCAACTCTAAGATATCAGTGCAATCAGTTGAGTAATTCAGTTGCAAGGTGCAATCAATTAGTGGGCATTCAAATGATGAGAAATCACGTGACATACATGCATCTGCAAACTACCCCTTTGTCTGAAACTAATTAGTAAAGTTGTTGTTGTTTAGTCATTTAGTCGTGTCCGACTCTTCGTGACCCCATGGACCAGAGCACGCCAGGCACTTCTGTCTTCCACTGCCTCCCGCAGTTTGGTCAAACTCATGCTGGTAGCTTCAAGAACACTATCCAACCATCTCATCCTCTGTCGTCCCCTTCTTTCCCAGCATCAGGGTCTTTTCCAGGGAGTCTTCTCTTCTCATGAGGTGGCCAAAGTATTGGAGCCTCAGCTTCAGGATCTGTCCTTCCAGTGAGCACTCAGGGCTGATTTCCTTAAGAATGGATAGGTTTGATCTTCTTGCAGTCTATGGGACTCTCAAGAGTCTCCTCCAGCACCATAATTCAAAAGCATCAATTCTTCAGTGATCAGCCTTCTTTATGGTCCAGCTTTCACTTCCATACATCACTACTGGGAAAACACCTTCATGGATCACTGTCTTGCCGTGGCGAAGGGGCTTGAATAACTCAGAGATGCTATGAACTATGCCGAGCAGGGCACCCAAGATGAACAGGTCATAGTGGAGAGTTTTGACCAAACGTGATCCACCTGGAGGATGAACCGGCAAGCCACTCCAGTATCCCTGCCAAGAAAACTCCATGGACAAAGACAAAATTAGTAAAGTATCTGAATATAAAGGTGGGATGATTTATTTTGAAATTTCTCTCTCTCTCTCTCTCTCTCTCTCGATAGTCAACTGTGCATTTGAACGTCACAATATTACGTTTTAAGAACATGAAAAAACAGTCTCATCCAGTGCTTATAAAGTAAGTTGAAAAACAATGCAAGATGGAGAAACCCAACTAAAATCGGTCCTTTAAAATTCAGAACATTTCAAAGCTGTACTGCATCTTTTGGAGAAGAGAGTTCTTTTGACAATGCTCAAGAAAGGTGATCCAATTTGGTATAAAACTATTTCAACTTTGTCCTGAATCTTTTGATGTCAGAAAAATGTGCCAGCTTAGACTTTGAAGTGAATTCCCAAATTTTATCTATTCATCCACTCATTAATAATGGGTGTTACATGAAACCTCCATTTCCTTGCCAACAGCATTCCTCCTGCTGCTACTATGTATGAAAATAGTTTTTTTGTGTTCTTTCCTTATTGAGTCATCAGCATAATTTCATAATAATAGTAGAGGATCATATGGGATTTCATAACCTAATATACCAAATTGCACTTCCACAGCATACAATAATAGTATCTTCCAATATATCCAACACTTAGTTCTTATTTATTTTACTTAGTATTTCTGGAGTTATATATCACCTTAGCATTGCTTTAGAACAATTTCCCTTTATATTCATATTTAAAGAAGACCTTTGTGCCCTTCCAAGTCGTCATATGTACAGTATATTATTTGCTACGTCTTGTTCCCACTTAGTCATGGTCCCATTTTCTGGCACTTCTTCAATAGTCACTGCTTTATTTGTTGGGAAAACTCACAATAATGCCTCATCACACATTTTGCATTTCCAGATGTTACCAAAAGAGAGAGCAGAAGATAGCATGAGCCAGCTGTTGCATGCCTCTAACACTGAATTATTTAAGGAAAATAATGAGCTTCTTTTCTATAGATGTTATATGCCTAGTGTCACATTACAATAAAGAATATATTGTTGTTAATAGTACTTGTTTAGTGCCTGCACTGCTAGCCACTGCAAATCAATAAAGCACAATAAAACAAACAACTCTGTCATTTGTTAACTGCACTTACAGTTTTATAATAGATAAATAATAGATAAAATTATTAAAGAAGAGAAAGAGGAAGGACAAAGAAAAATGGTAGATTAATTGATGGTGAAGAGGAAAAATAAATGAGCCAGAAACAGAGAGGAAACTTCAGAATGTATCTCAAAAAAATAATTAATAGTAATAGAATATGCTCAGGCATGAAATGAATGTTGAACCAATGAGTTTTGAAGTGTTTTTAAGATATAAAGTAGGGCAGGTGCATGTCGCGGGTAGAATTCCTGAAACAACCATTTCCATTCTAAATGTCAAAAAAGCAAAGTTGTGTTCAGTGTATTAAATTATCAGTCTAAGTTGTTAAATGTATTGACCATGAAGGATAGAATGACCAGCAGAATTCTGAGCTGGCAGCTTGCTACCCAGCAGCCAAACTACATTAATCATTTGAGGCTGGTGGTGGTGAGGCTGGGAACAACCTTTGAAAAGGTTTCCACGCCTAGTGCAGCAAATGTCTGTAGGGAATCCATGGTATCCCAATACTCCCCCAAACACCCGCCTCCAGAGAGGAGGTTGAAATTGGCTGTCACCTTGAGCCTCATTTACCTTACAGGGTTGTTGTAAAGAATAAATGTGCGATGGGAGGGATCATGTTCAACACCTTCAACAGAAAAATGGAATGAAGTAATATTTCAGCTATAATCTATCTTGAGTCCCTGTCAAGGAAAAAGGCAGGATATAATAATAATAATAATAATAATAATAATAATAATAATAATAAATTATTTATACCCTGCCCATCTGGCTGAGTCTCCCCAGCCACTCTGGGCAGCTCCCAATCAAGTCTTAAAAACAGTACAGCGTTAAATATTAAAAATTTCCCTGAACAGGGCTGCCTTTAGATGTCTTTTAAAGATAGGATAGCTGCTTATTTCCTTCACATCTGAAGGGAGGGTGTTCCACAGGGTGGGCGCCACTACCAAGAAGGCCCTCTGTCTGGTTCCCTGTAACCTCACTTCTCACAATGAGGGAACCGCCAGAAGGCCCTCGGCACTGGATCTCAGTGTCCGGGCTGAACGATGGGGGTGGAGACGCTCCTTCAGGTATACAGGATATACAGTGGACCCTCTGGATACGAACTTAATTTGTCCTGGGGATCTGTACTTACCCTGAAAAGTCTGTATCTGGAAGCGCTGCTTCTGCGCATGTGAATCATAGAATCATAGAATCATAGAGCTGGAAGAGACCACAAGGGCCATCGAGTCCAACCCCCTGCCAAGCAGGAAACACCATCAGAGCACTCCTGACATATGGTTGTCAAGCCTCTGCTTAAAGACCTCCAAAGAAGGAGACTCCACCACACTCCTTGGCAGCAAATTCCACTGTCGAACAGCTCTTACTGTCAGGAAGTTCTTCCTAATGTTGTGGTGGAATCTTCTTTCTTGTAGTTTGGATCCATTGCTCCGTGTCCGCTTCTCTGGAGCAGCAGAAAACAACCTTTCTCCCTCCTCTATGTGACATCCTTTTATATATTTGAACATGGCTATCATATCACCCCTTAACCTCCTCTTCTCCAGGCTAAACATGCCCAGCTCCCTTAGCCGTTCCTCATAAGGCATCGTTTCCAGGCCTTTGACCATTTTGGTTGCCCTCCTCTGGACACGTTCCAGTTTGTCAGTGTCCTTCTTGAACTGTGGTGCCCAGAACTGGACACAGTACTTCAGAGAGCGCAAAGCACTTCTGCACACACGCATGGTGAAACCCGGAATTATACACTTCCGGGTTTGCCGCGTCTGTAACATTAAATTACATTACCCGAAGTGTAACGTAACCTGAAGTACCACTGTAATGATAAAAACAATGATAAAAATAAATTTAAAAAAATGTAATTGGCTCAAGGTGACAGGTATATGATGCATTTGTGTGCCAGGAGATCATACGTGAGAGGGACACGGGTGGCACTGTGGTCTAAACTACTCATCCTCTTGGGCTTGCCAATCGGAAGGTCAGCGATTCGAGTTCCCATGACAGGGTGAGCTCCCATTGCTCTGTCCCAGCTCCTGCCAACCTAGCAGTTTGAAAGTACACCAGTGCAAGTAGATAAATAGGTACTGCTGTGGCGGGAAGATAAACGGCATTTCTGTGCGCTCTAGTTTCCATCACAGTGTTCCGTTGTGCCAGAAGTGGTTTAGTCATGCTGGCCAAATGACCCGGAAAGCTGTCTGTGGACAAACATCAGATTCCCTCGCTCTGAAAGCGAGATGAGCTCCGCAACCCCATAGTCACCTTTGACTGGACTTAGCCATCCAGGGGTCCTTTACCTTTACGTTTACATTGGAGAAGCTTCTTGATGTAGAATAGGATGTTCCTATTTTCATTGGAGAATTGTTGGAGGGTATGTGACCCATCTCCATACTAGAGACTTTTCTTTTTTGTTACAAGTGACCAGGCAAGCTTTCATATGTTATCATTTTGTTATTGTGATTATCATTATTATCTACAGAAATGAGCTCCCTATAAGTTCTTGTTTGTGGTTATGCATCTGCATATGAAATCTCTCCTCGCTGTTTGCAGTTCTGAACAGTTTCTCAAAAGCAGAAAGGCTTTTAATATAGTATCCTGCTGCTCAAAATGCTAAATATGGAATTTCCCCCTCCATTAGTTTAGAAGTTAGCTTGTGTGCAAGTGCTTAGAAGTTGTTGTGGCCAGGCCATTTGTGTACTTCGCTTTAGTGTCTTTGTGTGTGTTCTCAAGCTTTTCCTGCAAGCTCACAATTGATCATGGCTGAGATGTCAAATACCTTGAGAGGACGAGGGAGGAAGAGATTGTTTAAAGATAGGAAATAAACTGCTGCACAAAGTGCACAGCAGGAGGCAAAAAGGGAAATTGAGTTCTAAAGCTGCTTAGAAACTCTAGCTTAACTGGGAAGAATGAGTTGGTTTGTGGTAAGATGAAGGGGTGCTGAACAGTGTAGAATCACATTTATTCCTGTGGGCTGGGAAGCCTTTATTAAAAAGGAATATGTGAATTAAATTGTAAACAATTATGGAAGGACAAATGTCATAAGGCTGTGAAGAATAGGGTAGCTTTGTGAATGTGTGTACAAGGGCAGAAATGATAGAAGGTCACTCTCAACCAAGTCCCATTGAAATGCTTCCCTGATTCCCTCAGATGTAAGACTTACAGAAAATACGGTTTTGCCACCAGGGCAGAACTGTGGCGCAGAAGTCCAGGACCCCACTCCACAAAGTGAGTAGCTTAGCTCCCGAAGAAAGCAGCATTGTAAGGAAAGTTAATATATTGTTAAATAAGTTACATAATGCATATTACTTTTTGAATTGGAGAGGGGTGGCTGCAGGGAGGCTAAGACCATTAAAAGTCCAGAGTAAAAAAAATAAAAAATCACCAGAATCTCCTGGTCTTGGTTTCCTGATGGGAAAGTGGTTGAACTTCGCCATTCCTAAAAGAGATACTGTTTTGGAATGCATCAATAATACAAGATCATTGCAGTGTTAAGTCTGGAAGGAAGAAGCACGGTTATAATTTTAGCAGTGCTGTTTTCTAACATGTTGTCATCTCATAACTGCCGCAAAGCTGCATTAAGTTTGAGATGACATCCGCTCGCGCCCTTCTGCATTAATCATTCAAAGTGATGTCACCTTCTTGTTTATAGCTGTAAATCACACAGTCAGATTGTGACTGTTCTTAATCTAAAAAAATCTACCAGGCATTTCCCTAAAGACATATTAACAGCCTGGCGGGGTACTGGGAGGTGTTATTGCATGTTTGCTTGCCTACAGAGCTATTTAGCATGTGCACAGTGAGTGGAGTTACCACTTTTGTTGTTTAGTTGTTTAGTTGTGTCTGACTCTTCGTGACCCCATGGACCAGAGCAGGCCAGGCACTCCTGTCTTCCACGGCCTCCCGCAGTTTGGTCAAACTCATGTTAGTAGCTTCGAAAACCATCTCATCCTCTGTAATCCCCTTCTCTTTGTGGTGTAGTGGTTAAGAGCGGTAGTCTCGTAATCTGGCGAACTGGGTTCGCGTCTCCGCTCCTCCACATGCAGCTGCTGGGTGACCTTGGGCTAGTCACACTTCTTTGAAGTCTCTCAGCCTCACTCACCTCACAGAGTGTTTGTTGTGGGGGAGCTAGGGAAAGGAGAATGTTAGCCGCTTTGAGACTCCTTAGGGTAGTAATAAAGTGGGATATCAAATCCAAACTCCTCCTCCTCCTCCTCCTCCTCCTCCTCCTCCTCCTCCTCTTCTTCTTCTTCTTCTTCTTCTTCTTCCCCCAATCTTTCCCAACATCAGGATCTTTTCCAGGGAGTCTTTTCTTCTCATGATATGGCCAAAGTATTGGAGCCTCAGCTTCAGGATCTGTCCTTCCAGTGAGCACTCAGGGCTGATTTCCTTAAGAATGGAAAGGTTTGATCTTCTTGCAGTCCATGGGACTCTCAAGAGTCTCCTCCAGCACCATAATTCAAAAGCATCAATTCTAGGGTGCTCTGCAAAACATACCTTTCAGTTTCTCAAAAAGTTTTCTTTCCCAACAAAAAGGCTTCTGCTTCTCTGTCTCTTCCAGTGGGTGTGACACGGGGAAGGCTGGAAGTGGGGGTGGGGCTGTATAGTCTTTCTTTCCATTAAGCATACATCCATTGCTCTGTAGCCTCCATGGCTGCCCCTGTTTTTTGACCTGGGGAAGTCCTAAGAGAGGAATTACTTCATGATGTCTTCCCTGGGTTTAACTGAAGCATAGGAATACAGCAATGAAAGGCCTAAGATCTGTGGCAGAAGAACAGCACATTGGAAAGCCTTTGATTTTCATCTCCTGGAAGCAGTGCTACTTTTCTACAAACAAACAAACAAACGAGGTACCGGTACTGTGTACTGTTGTGTGCTGCCAGAAAAAAAACAAAAAGTGCACTGCTTATAGGAAACCCCAGCAAGGTGTGTCATTTGGTTTTCAGTAAATGTGAATATCCAGGAAGGCTGTAGAATGCAGGTCATAAGAGAGATGATACGCTGAATGGGAAAAGGTGACTTATTAAATTCCTCTGCTACCTCAAAAGTAAAGTAAGTTGAATACACACACATCCCACGTATGAGAAATTCAGTGAAATTTCCCCTCCCCTTTGATAATTTTCAAAGGCAGTATTTTTATACAAATATGTATAATGTGCTGATAACTACAATAAACTACACCAGGCTTCCTCAACCTCGGCCCTCCAGATGTTTTAAGACTACAATTCCCAGCATCCCTGTCCACTGGTCCTGCTAGCTAGGGATTATGGGAATTGTAGGCCAAAAACATTTGGAGGGCCAAGGTTGAGGAACCCTGAACTACACTTACAAAACAGAAATACTAATAACAAAGAACACTCCAGGTCTGACAGCTGAGCTAATAAAATATTATTTCTCATTGTGGATTTAATATTCAAGAAAACATATTCTCATATTTGTCAAACAAAGGAAGTTAAGGCATCATGGAAAATGTTATCTGATGATAATTTCAAGATACTTGAATCATTAATTATTATTATTATTTTTCCAAATCATTGTATTGGGCTAGATGTGTCCTTGTCCTGACAGACTTACCAGTCTTGGGGAGGGGAACCCTACACCATTCTGCAAAAATAAAAACATAAAAATGGTTTTGCTTGTCCCTTAGTAATGCGGATTCTATGCATGCGATTCTCAATGCAATTTTCCAAAGTTCCCCTCAAATCTATTGTAAAAGTCCTATTGCTCTTCCATGATTGTGTTCTTAGAGGTCTGGAAGCAACTGGCATGAATCTAACCAACTCCTTAAATAGTACATTCCCCACCCCCACCTGCCCAAAAACCACCAGTAATAGCAGCATTGATTTTGACATTTTGACAGTGCCCAGATACAGTATGGCATTCATCTTTTTGAGTATCTCATCTCAAAATCTTACTACTGTACTTGTAGACACTCCCGCCACAGATGAATATAAGTGCCCTGTTGACTGTAACCCCTCCAGCAGCTCTAGGGACATTTTAGCCATCATGTGTATCAGTCTCACTAGGATATAATACCATTTGTGGATTGTTTGCAGATACACATCGCAGCGGCTTCACATTTCACATGCTGTCCCCGTTTCTTTTATCATTAATTGATGGAGAATGGTAAAAAAAAATCAGCACAGCCGTTGTTACTCACCCACACTAGTAATTAGCTTGAAGAGTCTGCTGTAATTGGTCCAAACTCTTCCTGAACTTCCTAATATGCATTTAGACAAATTGGCGAAGATAATTGCTAAAGCAGTATAAATTACAAACAACAATTAGTAAAATATTTACCAAGCTTCTGCAATAAAAAAATACAAAAATAGAAAAGAGTGTGCCTGCCTCGTCTTAAATAAAATATTCGTTCCATTTTTTCTCTCTTCCACCAACATTTATTTCATGAAATCCAGCTAATTAAATTTAAGAGACTGAATAGAGGGAAATCTTTCTCACTTCTCAACTGGTTAAAACTTGAGGTCACAGGAACTTAAGGGCTATTCACACCACTTCTTGTCTCATTGCTTTCCCCTGGGGAAAACTGCTCTTTAGTGCTCAATCAGAGCAAACAGCAACAGGTTTCCCACATATTGTCCTTTATTCCACTTTAGAGCTAAAGAGCAGGTTTTCACTGCAAAAGTTGCAGGGCAAGGAGTACTCCTCTCAGACCTGTGCCTAGAAAGTACAGGTCAAACACAAAACCACTCAAACCAATGCTTCCTGGGCACGGGACAAGTTTTACAGAGGATCTAGCACTGTGCAGATTCCAAATCAGACCCCCAGACCAATCTACACATTGCTAGGGAATGTGATTGAGTGATGCCTTTGCTTCAAAGTTGCCTTTTGCCAGATCCCTCCCTATCTCTAATGACACAGCAAAAAAACCCTACTGTATGAAATGGTCCAGATTTAGACTGGAGGCAAAGTTAGGTGGGCGGGATGCAGGTGGTGCTGTGGTCTAAACCACAGAGCCTAGGGCTTGCCGATCAGAAAGTTGGTGATTCGAATCCCTGCAGCAGGGTGAGCTCCTGTTGCTTGGTCCTTGCTCCTGCCCACCTAACCGTTCAAAAGCACGTCAAAAGTGCAAGTAGTTAAATAGGTACCGTTCCGGCGGGAAGGTAAACAGCGTTTCCATGCACTGCTCTCATTCACCAGTAGTGGTTTAGTCATGCTGGCCACATGACCCGGAAGCTGTCTGCGGCCAAACACCGGCTCCCTTGGCCTATAGAGTGAGATGAGCGTGCAACCCCAGAGTCGTCCGCGACTGGACCTAACGGTCAGTGGTACCTTTACCTTTAAGGTTAGTTGAAGCTATTGAAACCATGCTTCCAAGCAACAAATGGTGAATTAGTAAAAAAAATAAGATTGTTTAACTTACATACTACTGGATATGTAAATTAAAAGATCTACAAATCTAAATGAACTTCTTTGGGGATGTGTTGGATAAATCCCGCTGTTCTATACAAATGTTTTAAAATTGCTGCTGAAGTACAGTTAAATGAAGCTGTTATGTGTACTACAGTCTATATTTGCATATTTGACAGCATCATTACCATGTGCTGAAGACAGTTGGATGGGATTAGAATGTATTGGCATTCTAGTATTACATATTCTTCTGGTAAAATTTTATTAGTAATGTTGCATCTTCTTTTGGGATGCCCCAGCTGCACACTGGAGTGTTACATTTCTGATGTTAATGGAGTTTTTATAGAGCTAATTTCAGGCTGTCAATCCCAAATCAGGAGCTAACCCATGAAAAAATAAGCAAATTGGCTTAAAAGTGATCAGATTTCTCAATTTCAATATAGCGTCTTTAGTCTGCCTCGGCACAGTGACATGAAAGCACGCTGTAGTCGTTTTCATGTCTCTGCCATTATTTTTATATGCAGTTATCACAATAGTTTATAATGAAAGACTTAAGAAGGCTACAGTGGCTTGATGTGCCATTAAGTCACACAAGCCAACAATATTGTATTGCCCTTTTGTGTTGGCTCAAAAATTCAGCAACAAATGCATATACAGTGGTACCTCGGGTTAAGGACTTAATTCGTTCTGGAGGTCCGTTCTTAACCTGAAACTGTTCTTAACCTGAGATACCACTTTAGCTAATGGGGCCTGCCACCGCTGCTGCACAATTTCTGTTCTCATCCTGAAGCAAAGTTCTTAACCCAAGGTCCTATTTGTTACGATATTGAATCAATGCAGCCGCGAGCTGCTGGTAGCTTGAAAACAAAACATAATGGGAATGTTGGGACTATTCCGTGGGAAACAGAGGGACAGTCAATTCACAGTGCAGAGGGCACCGGAATTAGCTCAGAGTGTAATATGAGCTGTACAGGAAGTACAGGAGGAGTTTGTCTCTCGACTGCTGGAGCTTGAAGAGAGCAGTCATGATTTTTGTAACGCTGCAAAGACAGAAATAAAGGCATGTAAATACGTTTCTGTCTATCTCTTTCCCCTGCCTGGGGAAGGATTGCCTATCGCGACCTAGCCTGGATCCTGCCGGGAATGCAGACAGGGAGGTCAACAGGAGATCAAGCCGGGTGCCTGGAGAGTGGCCAGTTTCTCCTGATAAAGGCTTGAATCCCAACACTATTTCTGGGTTAGCGGAGTCTGCAACCTGAAGTGTCTGTAACCCGAGGTACCACTGTAGTGTGGCATGCTCATCTCTCCCTATAAAGGGGACACAGGTGGCACTGTGGTCTGAACCACTGAGCCTCTTGGGCTTGCTGATCAGAAGGTCGGCAGTTCGAATCCATGTGACAGGGTGAGCTCCATTGCTCTGCCTCAGCTCCTGCCAAACTAGCAGTTTGAAAGCACTCCAGTGCAAGTAGATCAATAGGTACTGCTGTGGCAGGAAGGTAAACGGCGTTTCTGTGTGCCCTGGCTTCCATCACGGTGTTCCGTTGCGCCAGTAGCAGTTTAGTCCTGTTGGCCACATGACCTGGAAAGCTGTCTGTGGACAAACGCCGTCTCCCTTGGCCTGAAGTGGGATGAGCACCGCAACCCCATAGTCACTTTTAACTGGACTTAACCATTCAGGAGTCCTTTACCTTTACCTTTTATCTCCCTATAGGAATTCTCTTTTTGTGAGCAACCTTGATTCTGGGTTCTGGGGAAAAGAATAATCACCATCACCATATATTCTTACCTTGTGTATTTGACCAAATGTATGTCATGTCCTCCATGCCAGGGATGTAAATCTGATTTACAGGATTTTAAGTCTGTCAGATGGACTGACGCTAAGTGTTGTTTTTTGTGCGTGTGTGTGATCGCTATATCAGGGCTGCAACACTCTAAACAAAGCTTCATTAAACACAGGAGTCAGCCTGAAATAAACTGTTTGTATGAACACAGCCTTTATTTATTTTTCATATTTGTTAGCCACTTTTCTTGCCAAGAAACTCACTGCACCTTTCGTTAACACTCAGACTGATTTTCATTAAAAGCTTTCATCTGAAACCAGTCAGGGAGATATATTGTAACATGAAACTGTATGATAAATATTGGCAGAAGGGGGGAAAACTTCATAGTCAAAAGTAGGCCACTAACATTTTGGGAGACGACACTGCAATAAATATGACATTAATGGCCGTGTCTTAAAACTTGGCTGTCTGAGCAGATAAGTACTTAAAATGGGGGGTTACTGACCACTGTGTCATTGCAATGTCACAAACCATGAAGTTACACTAGCAATGAAGGCAGACAATGTCAGCGCAAATGTCATCAGTCAGGGTGGCGGCTGTACTGCTGAGGAGCTGACAAACCTACTGACAAGGCATTTAGAAGGATGGCACATTAAGATTTCACTTAGGAAAGGAGGAGGAAATAGTTCAAAATTTGATTGTGCAAACCTGGTTTGTAGTCTGGCCTGAAACTGTGCTGTAAGAAGGAAGCTGTATCCATTCTGATAGCTACTCACTCGGGTTCATGGGCCATCTCAGAATGTTATTTAATTCTGTTTGGCAGCTGCCACCTGCTGCGTCATTGTGAGTGACTCAGGTGAGTGGGCACATATGATCAAGATTAATACCAGCTGCTGCCCACTATGACTGATGCCTCGTCTGTTTTGAAATGCTTTTTTAACCTTTATTCATAAAGAGGGTTAACTTCACCTGCTTATGATGATTCTCTGATGAATTTTTTGTTGGCGTCTGTCTGTCTCGAGAGACCATGGATTCTGCCTCCAGGGGTGAAGCCAAACCGCTGGAGAATCGCAACACCCGCAGTGGCTGCAGAAACTGGTAACTCATAACTGCTGCCTCCCATGTTGTTTTTGCTGCATTAGCATCAATGTGATCTTTCAAGGGGTGCAAGCCTGGGCTGTGTGTATGGGCTACCCAGATGACAACACCTCCCACCCGGCCTCACTAATGTGGTTCAAAGGAAAGCAGAGCAATACATTTGGCCCCAGCTTGGCTGTGGGAGTTGCTGGAAGGAGGAGTACAATAACCTGACTAAATGCATAAGTTAAAACAAGAAAGCAGCTGAGTTGAGGCAGAAAAAGCCCACAGAGCCATACAAGTTGTCTGTTCTTGGCTACGAATTTTGGAGATCTAAAAATCCCTTTGTTCATTTCCCTCTAGCTAACGGATTCATTGCTTAAGATTCATCCTTTGAGTTGTTAACATATGAGAAAAGCTGATGGGCTCTTCATATTGTATCTGATTTGTTCAGAAGGGACCTTATTAAGATGTGCACCTAAACTGAGATAACTCCCACTGTCTGAATATATTGAGTGTTTTGAAGTTCACCAGGTTTCCTGAAGTCATCCATATTGCTGGTTCTCAGGCAGTACCACATAGGTACTAGTAAATTCCAAGCCATTTAAATTCTGTAGCAAACTTGCACACTTTTGATGCACAGAGTTGAACCCAATTTTCTGTATATGGCAACTGACATGGGGCTGGACAAACTACATATTTTCTGCTGACTTTCCTAGGATAGTTCAGTGAGCTGTGTTCATCTTGGTAGGTTAGAATTGTGTAAGGGTGCTCTCATAGCAATGAAAAGAGGAGAGTCACCATAAAAAATTCATAGACAAAGTGGGCTGCTGAGAGTGGATTTGGGACCCAGTGAAAAAAGAAAAGTAAACCCCACCCAGCAAGGGTAAACCAGCTAAAAATCCTTACTCTGGGATATAAAATAAATGTGTGATCTCATTTTTATGTTAATAATAAGATAGTATTTGTACCTGTTGGGGATATTAAGATCCCAATGGTGAATGTCAATAATACAGTGGAACCTCGGTTTTCGAACATAATCCATTCCAGAAGACCGTTTGACTTCTGAAACATTCAGAAACTGAGGATCAATGAGCGGTCGGCAAAATCCATTGAAAAAATGGAGAAACACTCCTTGGAAGCCATTCAACTTCCAAGGCACGTTCAAAAACAGAAGCAATTACTTCTGGGTTTGCGGCGTTTGGGATCCGAATCATTCGGCTTCTGAGATACTCAAAAACTGAGGTTCCATAAGCACCCAGACGATTGTTGCTGAACTAACTGTACACTTTAAACTTGTATGTGTAGCACCACAATAATGTGTACCACTCAACAATTTTGTTGCAGTCACATGGTGTTCACTTGCTAAAACATACAAAGATGATAAGACGACACTGCAATGTTGTACTGTCAAAGTGCAAAAGCGAATGTTTGTGTAGAGTTGTGAATTCTCGGAAATGCTCGGTGCATGCCATAAGCTTGCAAACCGTTATTCATAATTGTATGTGCATTGAACATGAAAGACATATTTTGTAAAGAATTACATGATAGCTGCAAGATAATTGGTCGCTGGGGCCCCACTCAGAGCACCAAACCCCAGTAATTTATACCAGCTCTCCCACCCTATCTTGTCAGTCCTGTATATTTTAAAGGCCATACATTGTTTATTCAGCTGAAGAGGGACAGTTTCTCCTGGTGCCTAAAAATAGGTCATAAAGGCATCATACAAGCCTCCCTGAGGAGAGCATTGCACAAATGGGAAGCCACCACAGAAAAGGCCTGTTCTTGTGTTGCTAACCTCCAGACTATCAGCCCCGTGCCACTCAAAGCTGTTCTAATTTGCCATCCATTTACTTTGCCCATTGAGCTTGCCGGAAGCCACCAAGAACCCAAATGAACATTGGCATTGTTTTCGCCGTCCCTCGTCCCCCTTGCATCCATTTGCACTTATCAATGTGGATTATCATTGGATACTGGAGAGAAAATGCTGGTCCCAGTATGTGCTTATTAATCACCTCTCCCTTTAAAGATGTGTCTGTATAAAAATAGCAGTGATAAGAACTCGGAGGAATGACAAGAGCAAGGGCTATTACTCCAGTGAATAGTGTTATGCTGTTAGACATCCTTTGGCTTCTGAAAATGTGATGTGATTTATCTCCCTTTGTTTTTGCAGACCTTTTAAAAGTGAAAGCATTCCTATCACATAATGTCCATGTTCCAGGAGCCCAGGAATCCATTTTCACCTAAATAGGACCATATGTAGTCCAGAGGCACATTTTCTGAACCTGTTAATGCGCTGTCTGACAGAAGAGAGGCCAGAGAAGTGTGGATTCCAATATCTACTTTTCGATTTCTGCACTATTGTTCTACAGAAATTAGTATTGCCTCTTTTTAGCTTCTCGGGGGAGAGGGGGGAGTTATGTCCAACTGTCAAGCTGTTCGCAAGGAATAAAACATCCCTTGTGCTTGATTCAGACCTGAATGCATGATCTAAAAAAACAAAAAAAACCCAACCTCCAACAACTCTCTTAAATGAGACTATTCTGCATACAATTTCAGTCCTCTTATGTCCAAGGTGTGCTCGATTCCCCCTTGCACTACAATGTATTATTTGAGATGAAATGTTTCACCAAGTTATGTCTAGGGACAGATACAGCATTCCCTCTCCCCCCCCCCCGCCATAAAATAGTTCCTTTCTGAATCTGTTTTTCTTGTCGGTGATCATAAATTTGTATATACATTCAAGGAAACTCTGTAAGCAACGTTAAGCTAATGACAAGAGAGACGAAACACCTGTATGTACTAAAAAAAATGACTTCCAGAATGCCAAACGAAAGGTATATCTTGCTTATTGAGGTAATATGGTGACAGCCGTAGGTTTGTGACTACAATGCATCAAATTGTTTTGAGCACATGAAACAAACAAATCACTTAGAGAGACTAAAGCAAACCCAGTATTGCCGCAAGCCACGCCTGGAGTGGTCTCTGAGAGCACCCTCCATAGCCCTGCTGTGGGTTTCTTAAACTTTAATGCAGGCATAGGCAAACTTGGCCCTCCAGATGTTTTGGGACTACAACTCCCATCATCCCTAGCTAACAGGACCAGTGGTCAGGGATGATGGGAATTGTAGTCTCAAAACATCTGGAGGGCCAAGTTTGCCTATGCCTGCTTTAATATATTTTTCTACCTCGATTTCCCCCCTTCGTCTTAAAATAGCAGGAATCAAGTTACTTTGCAAAACATTAGACCTTCCTCGTGCTGTCTTTTATCTTTCTAATATGTTGTTGGTCCACGAGAGCAATGTAACATCTGATACGAGGCAAGTAACAGAAGACCTAGTGGAAGAATGATTGACAGGAGTAGAGTGGGATGCTGGGTGGAGGTGGAGGCAGAATTAGAGCATGTCAGTTGTGAAATGGTTAGTACTGCAAATGACACATTATGAACAAATGCAGGCTGTTTGTCTTACTCTGGAAAGAGAGAATTTGGATTCCTGCCCAGAAGAGTGGAGCAAGTTGCATGAAAGACTGTGACCTCTTAGAGTTTGGGAAAGGCCACTTGCCAAGTTTAATGTGACATGTCCACCACAGGCATGAAATGTTTGTATGACCATATGGCCAAGAGTGTAAATACTGGCTATGTATGAATCAACAGATGGCCTGCAAAGCCTTTAAAGCTGATGCATGCTACGCTTTGTGCCCAAATTAAGTATTTGGGGCTGACTTTCATGTTTAAAAATTAAACCTTCCCCTGAATTCATTCACATACTAGTATGCAAAGAGTGTGGGGGAGATGATCTCTCAAGAGCAATGGTTTTTTATGTGACAGAAATGAAGTTGAGACTTATTTCCCTGAATTGCCGGAATTTGATGGGGGCAGGAAAATGCACCAGAGATTTCAAGGAGAGCGGCAACAGCTAATTGCTCCCAGTTATGTGTCAGAAGAGGGCCTTTTAACTTTCAATAAGTTTCCTATCAAAACCTCAAAACAATTAGAACTGGCCTCCTTTTTTTTGTCCTTTAATTATTATTGAACTCGGCTTCTAAATCCCATCAATCAATGGCAAGGAAGGCTCTGCATAAAGGGAATGCATGCCTTGCATTTGCAATGATGCACAAGTGCTTTTTGGAAATCATCTCAAAACTTAGAAAGTATTATATCAGGCTAAATTTCGAATCATTCTTGGCTACAAGGTAAATCTATACACCAATAATTCTTGTACTAGACTTCTGGGAGGGCGGAAACACCATTTTCTTTAAACACCTGTGCACAATAAGTTTGTATCTCTTTAACATTCACAGAGGTGAGTTGCGGTAGGAAAGCTGGCAGTTTGGTAAAGGTAAAGGGACCCCTGACCATTAGGTCCAGTCGTGACCGACTCTGGGGTTGCGGCGCTCATCTCGCTTTATTGGCCGAGGGAGCCGGTGTATAGCTTCCGGGTCATGTGGCCAGCATGACTAAGCCACTTCTGGCAAACCAGAGCAGCACATGGAAACACCGTTTACCTTCCCGCCGGAGCGGTACCTATTTATCTACTTGCACTTCGTGCTTTCGAACTGCTAGGTTGTCAGGAGCAGGGACTGAGCAACCGGAGCTCACCCCATCATGGGGATTCAAACCGCCAACCTTCTGATCGGCAAGTACTAGGCTCTGTGGTTTAAAGGACTTTGGCCTATAGCAGAAATCGCCGTGGATAAAGTTGCCCAGTTCCTCTCTTCTGAAATGAAGTTGGCAGTATGGTTGTGGATAAAGTCAGGTGTCTCCAGGGGATGAGGAAGGGGGTGCGGTGGGGGCGGGACGCCCCGGGTGTCTTCGCTGAGGGGGGGTGACATTTGGCGTGCCGCCCTCTCACGACTCCTAAGCCTACCCTGAGTGGCAACATTCATTTTGCCGGCGGCATTCCCCTCTTCCCCCTTCATTCTGAAAGCTCGGGGGAGGCTTGGGAGTCATGGGTGGGTGGCGTGCTGAATGTCCGCCGTCGGTGGCTTGATCCACCCCCATGGGTGGCTCGCTCTGCCCCCTGGCTGCAGGGTGCGCATGCCGCTCTATGCACCCAAGCAGTTATCCGGCGCCCGGGCGGGCACCCTCTGCCTCCCCCTTTGGGAGCACGCCTGCCCTGGGCAGCGTGGGCATATGCTCCACTGCTGGGTGTCTCCAGCATGTATTGGCCCAAAGAGCAAAAGACCAAGGTAGTAAGTATCATGGCAGCTGCCATCTTCTAGATCACTTACAAATGAACAATTTTGAAATCTCTGTCTGGGCTGGGAAACGCTGCTTATCCTCCCCCTAGAACACATCTCGAGGTAACTGTCTTTCTAGTAAGCACCGTGCAAAACTATTTTAGATGCTTTCATCTCTGCCGTTGCTTTGCCCTTGGCGGCAGTGAATTGAGAACGAGCCAAATTAATCAAATCAACCCTAAGCCCATGTCTGAACGCTGCACAAGCCAGTGCGGAAGGAGTTCTATATTAAATCCCTGCAGCAGCTCCAAGGCTGTATAAACTCCAAGGCTTTAATCCACATGTCTTTACACTGATAAATAGGAGCCATTGTATCAGCAGAAGACTTGGGCTGCTTGACCTCAAGGTGCAATTGTGAGCTAAGGGAATAATAAGGTCAGCAGCATAGGCTGGATTGATTTGATACAGTGTCTTGTATGTAAAAAGAGCAATTTTAGGCTCACCAGGTCAGAACTTATTATTCTGGGCATCTACAAGGGGAATAGAGCACAGTGGTGTTGATAGTGCATAATCAGGGCAAGACTTATGGTTGCAAAGGTTCTCAACAAAGTGAAATGTGTAATGGACTTCTTAAAGTGAGATCTATTTTGCCTTTGTTTCATCAGCTTGCAAGACCATTGGAAACCCAAAATGGTGAATATACTGGGAATATCTACACATTTTGGGGCATTTAAAAAGATCTAGCACACATTGTTGTATTTATGCCTGGGGGTGCAATGGAAATAGCCACCATTTTTGTCTCCTTATTTAATCTTATTTAAATTACTTTGTATTCTTTCAAAATTGTTTGGATGTTCAGCCCCAATACCCATGTTCCAAATGCATCTTGAAATTTTGCTTTAGGTGGAGGCTGGCAGCAGCCTGGAGGTGTGTAAAACCTCCCAGGGAAATGTTACTTGCCTTATGAAAATATTTAGCTCATCCTCTCTCAGCTGCCACCACCTGAGGTTTGAGTCAGTGGATTACACTGTGGATCACCAGTGGAAAGAAAACATGGCAGATCCCTGTATTTTCCATCAGTAAGCACCAGAGCTTGCCTCCTCTTTGTCTGGTTCATTATGGTATTTTCGCCACTCTACCTGCTTGCTACTTTTCAGTGCTGAAAGTCCTCCCAAAGCAGTTCACAATCCCTCTAGTCTAGACCATCAAAACTACATTCCTGCTGGGAAGTATGATGGGCACATGCATTGGCAGCCATGGCTAATGGGCTTGATCCCTTTCCCACTTGTGAATTTATGCACATTGCATTGCCAACAGCGTCTGGCTGAAAATATACATTTCTGGGAGAAACATTTGACTCCATAACAAAGAGACAGATAGGCTAAGGGTGGTGCCTTGTTTGTCTACCAAAGTGTTAAATCTTCATGGAACATTTTCTTTCGATAACAACAGTTTTTTAGCGGTGTGCCTTATAATTCACCAGCTGCTATCTGATCTCCTATCACACCTCTAATTAACAGTTTAAAAGGAATATTACTTCATATTAATGACATGCACAGAATATGAAGCACATGTGAACAACAAAAATACATTTGTTTCTGTGATGCTTGATTAATAAAAGTTAAATGTTCCTATCTGGACACGGCAGATCTCCAGACGGCATACGCCTCATGCAATAACGAGGCACTCCTTTTTAAAATGCTGCACAAAATTATTGTGTGTGGGGAAGCCTTATGATGCTTCCTGCATTGCAGCAGAAATACCACAATAAGGCATGTTTTTGCATTGACATTTACATGTGAACTATATGGCACAGGTAAATATCACAGGGCTACGTGAACAAAAGGGAAGTTAAGATGATACTTGAGAACTTTCACCTTGAAGTCGAACAAATGCACCCAACAATAAAACAGTTATCTATCATAATAAGCAACAATTCCAACCGGCTGCTTTACTATGGGGACATGGGTGGCATTGTGGATTAAACCACAGAGCCTAGGGCTTGCCAATAAGAAGGTCAGCGGTTCGAATCCCCGCGACGGGGTGAGCTCCCGTTGCTCGGTCCCTTCTCCTGCCAACCTAGCCGTTCAAAATCATGTCAAAGTGCAAGTAAATAAATAGGTACCGCTCTGGCGGGAAGGTAAACAGCGTTTCTGTGTGCTGCTCTGGTTCGCCAGATGCAGCTTAGTCATGCTGGCCACATGACCCAGTAGCTGTACGCCGGCTCCCTCGGCCAATAAAGCGAGATGAGCACCACAACCCCAGAGTCGGTCACGACTGGACCTAATGGTCAGGGGTCCCTTTACCTTTACCGTGCTTTACTATGAGCAGTTTTAAAGGTGCAGTTAGGTGACTGTTTTATTTCAACAGACCGTTGAGAACTGACTGGTTGTTGTTGTTTTTTAATGCAAAGGACTTTTAATAAAACTTTGCTGTTTTTATTATCTATTTTAATAGATTTGATTTTTATATTGTTTTAATTCTATTACAATTCACGATTATCTTTTATGTTTTATCTTTTATGGAGCTCAACCACACTTCCCTTTGCCATGCTCTTCCTCCAACCCCTCAGAAAACCTGCTCTTCCATGCTGAACTGGAACAAATGGCAATTGGGCTTTCTATGGATTGCCATTGGTTCTGATTTAGCACTAAAGAGCAGGTCCTCCAGGGGAAAGCAGTGGGAAGAGCAAAACCACTCAGACCCATGCCTAGAAAAGAGGATAAGTGGTTCAGGCCCGTGTTTTCTAGGCATGAGAAAAGCAGAAGTGTATACGAGCCTCTTGGGTAGGGTTGTCATATTTCAAAAAGTAAAAACCAGGAAACCACCAAAATTGTTGAGCTGTTTTCAGACAAACCCCAAAGCTGTTGAGCAGGACAAAGCCACCTCTTGGAAATCCCCCCTGGATGTCAATTCCACCTTTGAAATGCCGGACGTCTGGCAGCTCTACTCTTGGGTGCTGCCAATGCAGAGGTTTGACTTCATTGTAAGAGGCACACTTTATTGTCTCTTGAGGCAGACGGATGCTCACAGCTCTCACTCTGATTGGTTAAAAGGAGGGAGGGAGGGTGTGTGTGTGTAGCTGGAATATGGGAAAGGGGGAACAGACTTGAAGTGTTGGAATTGAAGGGCTGCAAGGAAAAGAAAGGACTGGAACACTTTTAACAAATCTGGAATACAGTCATACTTCTTCTTGCAAACGCTTCATGTTGCATTTTTTCAGGTTAAGAATGCAGCAAACCTGGAAGTGTTTACTTCCTGGTTTCGCCACATGCGCAGAAGCGTCCTGCGCGGTTTGTGCATGCACAGAAGCACTCTATTGTGCTTTGCACGTGCGCAGAAGTGCCACTCTTATGGACTTTTCGGGGCACCCCAGAACGGATCGTGTCCAGAACCAGAGGTACCACTGTACTGGAAAGTGTCAGCAGGCATGGTTGGAGCTCAGCAGCAGAAAGAAGCTAGGAGAAAGCTGATGTACACAAATTTTGAGCAAGGTGCTCGGGAGAGTAGTGTTGATTCAGCTGCAGGTGCTCTTGAATTAAACTCATTTTTTGACTCATTTCAGTGTGGATTCAGGTTTCGCTTGGGGACAGAATTAACCTTGGTTGCCCTGATGGATTACGATTTGCAGGAGGAAATCAGGGTAAGTGGTACCCTGTTGCTTCTGTTCACTCAGTGGCCTTTGATACCATCTCTGGTATCGATCATCTCTTGAGGTTGAAGGCATTGTTTTGTGGTGGTTTCATTCCTAATTGCAGGATTGGTGCCAGAAAATATCATTGGGTGACTTGTCTAAGCTTCAGGCACAGGACTAATGAGAAGTTTCAACAGTGCCATATTGTCTTGTCCCTTGGCCTCCCTGAGACTCTGAGCGTGCTGATATTTGACCTTTTCACCTGCAATCTGTAAAGAGGTTTAATTACTCCACAATGAAAAGAAAACTCCATGAGTTTTAAAGTTACCTTAATAATGGCACCCTCTCTTTTTATTAGTTTTGTCCATCTTGCAGTTCTGCTCAGGTTGTAAGCCAGTGTAAGGCATGGTTAATTGGGATATGGGGGGAGTGAGTGGCACTGTGGTCTAAATCACTAAACCTCTTGGGCTTGCCAATCAGAAGGTTGGTGATTCTCATCCCATGGTTGCTGGTTCACATCCCATGGCATCACTATAATTCTGGATAAATGTTGAATATGAATTGTTCTGATGCACATACAAAAAGCAGGTTCAGGTTATTTTTCTTGCTCCTGGTTAGTGGCTAAGTCTTGTACAGTGGTACCTTGGTTTATGAACTTAATCCGTTCTGGAAGTCCATTCTTAAACCAAAGCGTTCTTAAACCAAGGCGTGCTTTCCCATAGCAGCGGGGGACTCAATTTACACTCAACAGGAAGTGGAACATGTTCTGCTTCCAAGGCAATGTTCACAAACCAAAACACCTACTTCTGGGTCTGCAGCCTTCTTAATCCAAGTTGTTCATAAACAAAGCTGTTTTTAAACCAAGGTACCATTGTACTGTGTTAGTTTTGGCTAGGGGCATGAATCTCTATAAAATGGTGAACAGCAGTGTCATTAACTTTATACCTGCATAACTCCTTCATGATAGTCCTTTAGACTCCATTTGAAGTTCTCTCTATTGCCACAAAACTCATAAGATTTGAAATGGAAATGTAAGTGACAACAGTAATAAGAGAAGCAAACGACAAGCACAAGCTCAGATTATTTAATGTAGTCTCTGATTTATATGTTTTTGTTAGTTTTGTCTGAAATAGAAAATAGCATACATGAAAGCAACCTTGTGTTATGTGTGACCTTTTTCAAAAGTTCTAAGTGGCTTGTTTAATTTTACACCCACCAGTTTGGAGTATATAGACATCTGATCTTTTACTTGTGTTTTAACTGACATATTTTATATGCCAAAGTCTATTAAATGTAGCACTGCTTTTGCAAATAAGGTTGCTTAGATTTTTAATCCCTCTCCCAATATGCCACTTAGCTAATTTTTTTTGTTCTTTCAAATCCTCCTTTTAGACATTTCCACAGACTTTTCTGAGAAATTCAATTTCTTCCTATTATAGGTTAATGCCCTTTTGGAAGGCAAGTGGGGCTTATTTCCCCCCACCCACCCAGAATTTGTCAGAGGAGTTCTTGGCTATTAAACGTTTCTGTCAGAGAGCAGGAATAACATTTTGAAAAGATCACTTACACATAAAAATGGTGAGCATTAAAAATGGTCAGTGAGCAGTTCCAGAGATAACCTTAGTGTCTGATTTCTTAACATGGTTGGGGTGGGAAGAAAGCACACACTTTGTGCAGCCCAAGTGGTTCATGCCGCACAGGATTATGGGTGGTGTAGCAGGCAGATGCAAAATTGAGAAGATCCGTAACTGAGAAGGTCCATTGGGGGACACCAACTTTTGGCCTCACTGAGGGCGCCATATTATGAAAGATTACCTAAGTCCACCCCTGAGTTTATGGGTGGAAATAGTGTATTGAGGTGAGAACCTGACACAAGAGAAGAGCCACAGAGAGTGAAATTTCAGCATCGGAAGCTGAGGTGCTCTGCAAGAATCCATATCTCTAGCAATGTCAGAAGTTCAACTTCTAGTCTGCTAAGATTTTGTTTAAGGGTAAGTTGTTATTGTACATAAATGGTAGCAAGTTTGTTATCCTTGGTGGTCAGTGTTCAGAAAAGTGTTAATGACATTTCTTCTGTGTCATGTTGTCCACTAGTGGGTGCCCATTCATGGGTAAACATTTTTTTTAAAGGGGCATTTTTTGATATCCTTCAGTGGTCCATAGGACTCCACCAGGGGACTTGCACAAGATGTTAACAGCCTTACAAAAGCTGACGTCTGAGCTGCTAAATAGTGTCATTAAAACTGTTGTCCTTTAAGGTTCTGCTCCTAGTGGCTGTAACTCCTGAAATTAGAGTTTCTGACCTCAAAGCATTTTTGGTGGCTAAATATGTGTTTCTCATTTAGATAGGGTAGTCCTTGAGATGGATCTTTCATTCATTCTGAAGGTTAATTCCATAATCCAGTGGCTTTCACCCAGTGTGTCATGGCACCCTGGGGTGCCTTGAATGATGGTCAGGGGTGCCATGGGCAACACTGGCCACTGTCCCTCTTTCCTTCCCTCCCTTCCTCTGATGCCTTCTCATGGCTCTGCCTCCCAAAGGCTTGCACAGCTATTTGTTGCAGCTGCCCTGGTTTCAAGCACCCCAGGTGAATGGTGCCTCTGGGGCTGGCCAGGGGGTGTTTCCCAGGCCCCTGTGGGGCAATGTGAGGAGGGACCTCTCTTTGGGGTGGGGGGAGGCAGCTCAGAGACCAGGGGCGACAGCAGCGGCTTCCCAGAGGACTCCTAAGGAGAGAGGAGAAGAGAGGCGGCTGAGGGAACACTTCACAAGGCAGGGTGTTCAAAAAAGGGTGAGGGGCTTTGCAGGCAAAGGGTGACATAACTGGGCTCCTGAGCCCCACAGGGGTGCCACAGAAAGAATGTAGCTGGCCAAGGGAGCCATGGACTCAAAAAGGTTGAAAACCTCTACCATAACCCATAGACAGCATGAATTAATTTTGCCAATTTTTTGATCATTACATTCCCTGAGAAAGAATGGCATGCTTTGGATGTGAAGTGAGCACTTAATGCATCCATCAACAGGATTCGACCAATCAAACAGATTCATTTTTAGTTTCATTTCACCCAAATTCTCTTTAGGAAGAAAGTGACTAGTTCATCCTTGGCAAGTTGGATCTGGGATTGCACACAGCTTGCTTCTGGAAAATTTCACTTGCTCGTTCCTTAACGTGTTACAGCATGTTCTACTAGGTCTGTGGCAACATTTGCTTCCAATGCTCCTCTGCAAGAGGTGTGTGTCGGCAGCTGTGTGAGAAAACCCATCAGCATTTATCCAACATGACAGAAGTATGCCTCAGCAGAGGCCGCATTTGGGTAACAGATATCACAACAAGTTCTTTAGCAGTGGCCAGCTGTTCCCACCCAGTAGGTTCCATAGCTTTAGTGTAATTTGCCATGATATGTGTTCATCACCTCCAGAGAAGGAACAGTTGGTTCTCACCTGAACTTTGTTTCTCGGAGGTGTTGAATACAGTGGTACCTTGGGTTACAGACACTTCAGGTTACAGACACTTCAGGTTACAGACTCAGCTAACCCAGGAATAGTACCTCAGGTTAAGAACTTTGCTTCAGGTCGAGAACAGAAATTGCGCAGCAGCGGTAGCGGGAGGCCCCATTAGTACCTCAGGTTAAGAACAGTTTCAGGTTAAGAACAGACCTCCAGAACGAATTAAGTTCTTAACCCAAAGTACCACTGTACATGGAATGGGCCTACCCAGTCGGCCACTCTTCCATTTTTTTTCTATAAGCATGCCCCCCCCCCAAAGTTATCATTAGATAGTTTGTTGCTGGTTTATTTTTTTTCAGCTATTAGTTTCCTTACATGAGTTTGAAGCTACTTAGCCTGTTCATGTAGCTTGTCATTCAATGGACTGAGATTATGGGAGCATGTCATCTGGGCAAAGGCCAGTCTGTGTTTCCCTCTTTTGATGCAAAAAAGCAGCAATGCTAGCTAAATAAATAAATAAGAACCCATTGTGCCATGCGTTCAACACCTCATCTGTTCCTTTTGTCAGATTTTAAGACTTATTTCTGCCCCTACGGGCTATCAGCTTCCTCAAAAGTAACTAGACTCCATGAACCCAGAGACTCTCTTGAGACCCATTAAGTTCTCCTAACCCTGCTACACAGCATGATAGAGCTACGCTTGATTTCCTTGCAGATGGACGAATGAACGTGGAAATGTGAGGGGGGAAACAAAACATGATGAAGAATGTTGACAAAAAGAGCCTTTGACGAGGTGAGTTGCTAAAATGTGATGTTTTATTGAGTGCGATTTGGCTGTGATGTACAATGTATGCAGTAGTTGCTGGGGAATATATATGGTCTGTAATGTAAAGAGTGCCCAAAATGAAGCATCTGTTGAAAGATTTCTCTCTCTCCAAAATACACATTTCAGTGTGAACATATTTTGTTTTGGCATGGGATAATTTATCCCCAGATCTGCTTTTTCTCAGCTGTCAGCTTCCTATTACAATATTAGCTAAAGTACAGTAATTCAGAACTGTGAGGAGTGTGCTCATTTTCCCGCAGAAAGCTCCCACCTCGCTTTCATGTGTCTGTAGTACCTTTTACGCACCTTAGAGTAATGCTACACATTTTCCTCAACGGTACTTTAACGACTCTCAGGAATTACACATAGGTTGTTCTGCTTTATACTTTTCTTCTTGTTTTCTTTCCCCCTGTAAATTAGGGAACAGAAAAGACCTAGAGTCCCTGAACTGCAATTTCTCTTCCTTTGTCCTTTAATTTATTTTGTTGCCCCTTCCCTCCCCACAGTACTATTTCCAAATACTGGACCTATATTAACACATTCCATAATATCACACTATGATTTTGCTACTAAGTTTATAAATTTTGCAATATATTTTGTCAGAAATCTTCTTTCTCCAGTGCCAGTTTTGTGTTTTAAGAAGCTGACATTTAAATGCATCAGTCTTGTTTTGGCTAAGCAACACTGAAAATGCACATCAAAAACCCATACCTGCACTTTGATTGCTGTTCACTTTCTCATCCAGTATTAGACCGTCAGTGCACTTCGTAAGGACTATGTCACTTTATGTTCTATAGAAAGCATTGTAAGCTGGAGATCTGCAAATATTCTTTAAACTGGAGCAGGCTCATCCACTCATCTGGCCAAGAATCATTGTTCTGTGGGGAGATTGTTGTTACACACACACACACACACACAACATTTTCCAGGCATTCCGCCTGGAGGCTTGTATGTTTGGAGTCTGGCTTGCATGGTTCTGAACTGTGCCATTGATGACTATTACATACTCCTACATTTCTCTGATGAAAATAGGGACATCCTATTTAATCATTATCTTCTTCTTCTTCTTCTTCTTCTTCTTCTTCTTCTTCTTCTTCTTCTTCTTCAACTGAGTAAGATTGTCTCCCAATATGATCTTAGCAGTGTGTTGGTAAGTGACTGTAGAGGCCAATTCTGGCTCCACACATCCTTCCACAGTGGGGACAAAGGTTTCCAGGTGGGAGTTGATCATGGTGAGGATTTGCCAAACATGCTTTCCTCTTGTTTCTCCCTTTCATCCTGAGTTCCTGCTTCTTCAAAGTCGATGACACCTTTGGTAAAGGCTGGAGCCTTTACCAAGCGCTCAGAGGCCAGTGTTTCCCAATTTTCCATACTTATACTGCATTTCTTTAGATTAGCCTTGACAGCACATTTAAACCTCTTTTGTTGTCCACCGGTATTTTGCTTTCCATTCCTAAGTTGGGAATAGAGTAGTTGCTTTGGAAGGTATCCGAACCACATGACCAGCCCTATGAAGTTGGTGTTTAAGCATCATTGCTTTGACATTAGTGATCTTTGCCACTTCCAGTACACTGACATTAGTTCACCTGTCTTCCCAAGTGAAATAATAATAATAATAATAATAATAATAATAATAATACCCACTCATCTGACTGGGTTGCCCCAACTACTCTGGGTGGCTTCCAATATATATAAAACATAATAAAACTTTAAATATTTTTTGAAAAAAACTTCCCTATACAGGGCTGCCTTCAGATGTCTTCTAAAGGATGTATAGTTACTTACCTCCTTGGCTCGGGGGTCGCTTAACTCCACCCCTTCCAACATTTCTCCAATAAAAAGAGGGGCATCCTAAGGAAAAGCAGGACATTCCAGGATCAAATTAGAAACTGAGATGGCTTCTGCAAATTTGGAACTGTCCTTGGAAAATAGGGACACTTGAAGGGTCTGCATATTAGCTAAATAGACATATTCAAAGGTTCTTCCCACTATGTCTTTTATTTTCATTCTTCTTTCTACAACTGCCTTACAAAGTAGAGATTAAGCACTGTGTTTTATAGCAGCATAGATATAGATAGAAATTAGGGTTACAGTATGTTCAATAGCTATAGCCAAGCTGTATTCTTGTTTTGGAATGTCAAAGTATGGCTGGGGACCATCAAGTTCCTATCACAGAGTTCAGAAGTAATGGAGATATCTCTCCCCCCCTCCCCAGCAATAGATCAGAGGCCTTTCGGTGTGAGTAGGGATGTCAGAGAAATTATCCACATTTGCATATATACATGATTTTTGGGTGTTCTGGAACCCCAGAGTGCAACTTGGAACTAACCTCCTCATCTTATGTCATGGGTCAGCAACCTTTTTCAGCCGTGGGCCAGTCCATCGTTCCTCAGACCATGCGGTGGGCTGGACTATATTTTTCGGGGGTGGGGAAATTGAACAAATTCCTATGCCCCACAAATAACCCAGAGATGCCTTTTAAATAAAAGCACACATTCTACTCGTGTAGAAACACGCTGATTCCCAGACTGTCCACGGGCCAGATTGAGAAGGTGATTGGGCCGCATCCGGCCCACAGGCCTTAGGTTGCCTACCCCGTCTTATGTTTTGTGGTGAATTAATGAGTGGTGGCTGGTTCTACAAATTGAAATTTTTATTCATATGTTATCATAATGTACGTTATACTGACATGACTGCTTCCAGACAACACCACTAACATTAGCTATTACGGCAACAAATCACCTGTACTTGGCCAACTTCTTAGTTATGCAGAGTCCCATTCTCCCAAGAAAAGGAAGTGTACCAGAATATCTACTTCACAATGGAAACTGTTTTGACAGGTGGTGGGGTTTTTGTGTGTGTTTTTGCCACAATCCTCTTGAGCAGCAAGGTTAAAACAGGCACTGCCTGAGCACAATTCATTACATAATAAAAGTGTAGTGAATATGTTTAAATGCAAGCTTTATTAACTGTAGGAAAACAAATCATTTGCTGCATGGTGGGGGGGTTGAGGGCCAGCAAAATCAAATTTTTGCAGGTAGCACTGGTCAGATGGAGGGGGAAAAACTGGTCTGTGTGCAGGATGATGACTTATGGAACTGCACATCCCAAGGTGTGAGAAGAGTCTAAATCTGCTCCACCTTGTTTATCCCACTAAGCCCAAGTATTTCTGTCTTGACAGGGGTGTGTTTACCATCTTCTTGCTGGGAATGAGTGTCCCAGTGGCTAAACTAGAAACCTGCCTTACACACTTCAAAGTCTCCAGGGCATGGAGGTAAAGTAAAAACCAGTCAACCAACCAACCAACCACCTCTTCCATGCTCCACATGGCTCATTTGATTACCTGAACCCTTTTGGAGCCTGCCAGAAAGTAGCACAGAGAGTAGATCTGCTTTGGAAAAGTTTTCACTCCTGCCAAATGCTGTGACTCTCAGATAAATTCCATTATTGGCAGTGTGGGAAATGTGGCTGCATTTGGTGTATTCAGTTGACTCTATTGTTGCCTTGTAACAACAGAAACTTTGATTCTCCATTCTGTGCTTCCCTTTTTTTGCAACCTCCTCACAGCAGTATTAAGGTGCTGATGATAAGTAGAATTTTCGCCAGGAATATGTAGTGACTCAATCTGCACTTTGAATTGAACTGATGATTAATGAAAGAAGTTACTTACTAATGCTGGAGAAATTCTGGAAAAGTAACACTACAGTCACTTGTGACCCTAGTCAATTGAAAATGTTGTTCCCTTAGTGTTTAGGATCAGTTAATCATGCCATGATGTCATCCAGCCATGAATTTTTCTTTTGTGTGGGATAACTCATTTGATGGCTTCACAACATGGGGGGAGGGTTTGTAGATATGTCATGGGAGTAGTGTTGAGCCCAACACTTCAGAGGCAAACTTTGGTAATCTTTGGTGATATGGTGCCCTGAACGAGCCCAAAATATGATGCCCCCAAATGGATCTTCTCACTTATGGATCTTCTCAATTTTGCACCCCCTTGGCTTGGCACCCTGCGCAAGGCAACCAACCACACTGTCCTAAATCTGACACAGGGCTATTGAAAACAATGGCTATCTCTTGTCTCACGCAACATGTAATTCTGACCTGCTGTGAGGCACCCTCTTTAGAACACTTGTCTCTTCCTGTGTTCCTTTGCGTTGCTTTCCTCCTTAGAATAATAGCCAGATTGCTACAGACATACATTCTCGGAAGTGATTAAATGCATCTAGTAGTTATATCTCTCCCATGAAGAAATATGCTAATCTTGAGCATACAGACTCAGAAAAACTAATTGTGGCTTCCCTGGGTTGGCTTTTGGGTTAGCTTATTCCCTCACCCCCATACTGCTCCCTGTGCCTGTTTAATCTATCAATAATATAGCAACTGGATGATGTGCTTGTCGTAAAAAGGCACGAGGAAGCTCCCTTCTCAGCAGGCCTGCAGATTGCTTTGTTGGGAGCTCTTAGCCTCAAACTCTTATTACTGCAGTCTGTGGAGAGAGGAAGGCACTTGCTTAACCCTAAAATGCCAAAAGCGTGCCTCCCCAAAGAGTGTTTTGAATGTTATTCATGCTGGCAATGATTATGCATATGTCAAAGTACCCTTGGAGCTACAGATAACTTGCTTAACGCTGAGCCTTTATCTAAGGGATTTTAAGATTGCAAATAGGTACCCTGAGAATGATTTTCCATCATGAAAGCATTACAGCTGCATGCACCGATTCCCCTCCCCATATTGAAGATATTTATGATCACTTATTGAACATATTTATGATTGCATGTCGATCGTTCAATGCCCAGATATGTAGCTTGCTTAGCAGCGTGTCCTCCAAAGCTCATTGTGGTTATTGATTTATCTACTCATTAAAGATGACTTAACAGCTGAGTCAGAATGAAACAGTACTGCAAAATACTTGCTGCTACTCCTAATTTCGTTTGTATTAATGGTTTAGACAAAGGTTTAATAGCGATGCAATAAAAAAAAATCTGTTTTCACAGTATATGGGAACAGATGAAGCTGTCTCATACCAGATCAGATCACTGGTCCATCTGTTGGCATCCATCTGTTTTGAGAGACAACAGGACCAGTGGTCAGGGATGATGGGAATTGTAGTCCCAAACATCTGGAGGGCCAGAGTTTGCCTATGCCTGGTTTACTCCTTAGCATTTTCTTCTCCTAAAGATATCCCTCAAGGCAATGGAGGTTTAGGATCAGAGTTTTTCTTCTCCTAAGTGGGCTCCCTTCCCAGATTGGTGATCCCCATCTGCTCCTCACTTCCCTCTACAGCACGTACAGAAACCGTCCACTTGTCTGTAGGGTCCACTATGAGTCCTTTACATTCAATTCGCCAGAGCCTGTGTTCACATGCAGAGGGAAGTCCCAAACTCACTGAGGGTTGGAGACCCATCAACTACCCTCACCTGGTTTAGCTGGCCAGTTGAAGCCATCTCTAGGGGTGTGGCCACTGTCGTATGCTGACAGCTTCTGGGAGCAATAGTTGAGAGCTAAGTGCAGGAGGGTATCTAAGGTGGTCAGACTACCCTAGAAGAAGGTTGTGTTTCCCACCAGAGGTACTACCCCTCCCATAACACCCCATGCATGTCATCTAGCTCAATATCAACTATGGCAGGAGTAGCCAGTGTGGTGCACTTCATATGTCGCAGGACTGCAATTCCCATTAACCCCAGCCAGCGTGGCCAGTGGTCAGGGATGATGGGACCTTATACAGCAAAGCCATGCCCTGAAAAAAAAGGACCACCACAAAAACCCTTAAGTCATAACTTCTAACTTTGTCAGAGCCCGGAATTAAACACCCAGGCTGAGGGGGTACCAGCATGGCAGGTTCCACCACCATCTTGCCTCACTGCCACCATTCCTGCTCCTCCTGACCATCCCGAGTGCCTCCCCTCTTTCCTCTGTCCTGCAAGAGGCCAGCACCAAATGCATAGCACAAGATGGTGGCTGAGTGCCTGCTCAGCTAGTTGGTGCCAGTGGAGGTGAAGTACGAGGGCTGCAAGGAGAGGTCAGTTGCCTGGCATGGCTTCCCTGAGTGCAGAAAGGGGGCCTTGTATGGACTTTTCTCTCTCACTTCATAATGGACTACAGGCTGGTGCATGTGGTGTTTCCTATCATGGGCCAGTTTCACCTGCTGAACAGCAGCCTGAAGGGAGAGAAGACAGAGTGACTCCACCTGCAACTGATCAGCCTTCAAGGACTCAGAGGAGAAGGTACTAACGAGATTCAGCTGGCTTCAGCCTTCTTAAGCAGAGTTTCCAGCAGCAGTCAGATGCTAGTAAGAACGCTTGTAGTTCCTGGCCCTACCTTGCTGCTTCCTTTTGTCTTGACCCTATGATCATCAGATTCCCTGACCCCTGGACTGTCTGACCATGTGGATTGTTGTTTGCCCATGCCTAGGACTGGACCTGACTTCAGATGCTGAATCTTCCTCCAGGCAAGTACACCTCAGAGACACTTCTAGTTGGTTGCTCTCTCACTCCACTGAGCCCTGCAAATTGTTGCTCAGCAACGAGACTATGACATTTGCCCCCCTCCATTGCTTGAGCTGCCCTCTCTCCGTCTCATGTCCTGCTTTAGGCCACACTCTGTCACCCCAGCGGGCAGGTGGTTGGCTGGTCCCCAGACAGGCCCAGGAGAGACAGGATCCCTTGAGATGTGGCCAGTGACCGTCCCCCCACTTTTCCAGCCAAGTTTCCCCACAGAAGACCCTCAACAACTTTTTAAACTGGAAAGCTGCAAGTTTCTGTAGTGTGACTGGTTGTTGGTGTTTTTGGTTTTTTTGTACACTACCCCTTTACTAAACTTTTGTGTGGTCTTTTAAAAGACTGGCATAAACGCCATTGGGCCTGCATTGTGAGTAAGTGTCTTAAGCTTTTGGATTAACCCCTTTTGAGGTTGCAAATAAATGTTTGTGTTAGGCTCTAGAAGCAATGCAAGGCTTTGAATGCGAGGGCACTGCAACAGACTCGGAAGCATGTGTGTGAGAGTGTTGTCCATCTGAGTTCAGTTGCTAGGAAGCAGGCATTGTACCAGAGCCGTTGGCGTGTTGCCTGTGTTAATCCCCATCCAGTGTGTGAATATGCTTGCCACCATCATGTATATAGATATATGCAAAGCTAACCTTGAGCATATAGACTGGTACTGCCCCTCCAGCAGAGTAGATGGATGAAAGGCAGAAATTCAGCAGCTCAGAACCAAAATTTCGAGTCTTATTCCTTGGAAGCCTATAGTATCTAAATTCCCACTTTTAACAGTTTAAAGGGGTCGCAGATCCCTTTGTGTGCTCACTGACTTGAATGAGAGAGTGTGTGTATAAGATTTCAGACTTGAGCAAACTTGTCTTTGAACTTGGCGGAGCCTACAGATAGGACCATGCTCATTTTGAACCATGTGTGTTTGCTTAAAAGTAAGTCCCACTGGGGTAGCTCAGCCAGCCCCATCCTTTTCTTGTATTCTATCAGTAGTGTGCTTTTTTGGAAGGCATGTGGGGGACAGTGATGTAGAAAAGAATGACTGAGGAATGTTGGAGGGTATACAACACATAGCCAAAGTAGGCAGGGCAAGAATATGCATGAGTGATGTTCAAAAAGTTTCCTTTGTTCTTTTAATAAACAAGAGGTAAGGAACAGAAGTGGTAAACAATGATTCAGACTGCCAACTTATGCTCCCATGCCTATGAAACAGACATTTGACCTTCAGCATGTGGAAGGCTGGAAAAAAGCCCCCAGATGGGACAGGGCTTGGCAGTGCACACTGGTTTCCTCCATGCAATGAAAACCACACGTGCAAAATGAATTCACAAACATAGTTCTCAAAAGTCCCATGCCTACCTTCCTTCTCAATTTGCAGTTTTGACTGAAAGCCGTCTCACTGTAGGGGTAAGTAGTTTTTGGTGCTGTTCCAGTCTGAAGGCCTGTACTTAACTGTGGTATTGGACTTTGCAAACTGAAAACGGAAAAAACTTTCCCTGTCTGTGTGGGTTTTTTTAAAATATTGGCTTGATTGACAGAATTTCAGTAAGTGAAATGTTTTAGGGCATGGAGTTATGTATGGTAAATTGTGTCATAGCTGTAGACATGTGCCTAGGGAAAGGTCAGCAAAGGGCAGTTCTATACTGTTTTGCCATATCTCTGATTTCTACAATTGCTCCAAATGAACATGAATTAGTTACAAAATCCATGTCTCACAGCAAAAGCTTCTTCTGTGTGTAAACATGACTTTAATCTAAGTGGAAACCATTTTAGTCGCAACACATCATTCCAGACAAGGCAAAAGAGCAAAGTCCAAATTGAAAGTCGAAATTGCATCCTTGCTTACTATCTGCGTTTATCAAGGTATTTCAATGCTTTTCTAAGCCTTGGTGCTCACAAACAACTTCCTGAACTCTTCTTACCACTGGAATTGCTTAGATAATGTGCTTACTATGATTTTCCTTGTAAAGATTTGGTTCTCTTTGACACTTGTCTGCCTTACAATATGTCAGGGGCAGGCCAGAGGAAGAGTGGTGGAGACCACCTCCCCATCCTGACCCTTCCAGGGAGGAGGAAGAGGAAGACAGTATGGATTTACAACAGGGGTTTGGGGGAAGTCACAGCTCAGAGACAGAGGAGGGGAAAAGATGGGAAATGATGGGTGAGGAGAAGGCAGAGGCAGAGCAGCAGCTGGCTGATATGTTGTCACTAGAAAGCATTCCAGACTCTCCATCTTCCAGAATCTGACAAGCCTTAAAAGTATAAGAGCAAAGAGCTCAAAGTCTTATTCTTTGTGGAACAGAAATTCAATAATATGAAGCAGCACCCATCATTCCTATGCTAAACCACAAAGCCATCTTCCTAGCCCCCTCACTTGTAAAGCTTAGGTCCTCACCATACTCATCCAGCACTTATTCCTGGTTCCTTATCTTCTCCTTCTTGGTTATTTTTTTCAAATACAGAGAAAAAGCTGCTATAGAGTGGAGAAAGTAAATGTGGTTGTATGAATCAGTCCCAAAGTCACACATAAAGTTGATTATTTGATGGGTGCAGGGTTGTGAATGTATATCTATTGGCCTCAACTTGATGGGTTACAAACTGGCAGACCGATCTAAAACTTCCCCCCAATAGTAAAAGTTAATACATCCCCCAAATAAAACTATTCATCACCTGTTATGGAGATCCATCTTGACAGGGCTGAGATGCAGTCTGACTGTTATCTGCTTTTGGCTTTACCAAGACTTAAAGCAGATCCTCTTTGTGACATCACACATGACATCAGAATGGCCTGTTTGCATTCAACCTAGACTATCTCCATGCCAACAGCAATGGCAAGTAAACTTCTGCAACCAAGTAACCATCAGCCTGACTACCCAGTTGTTTCTATCTAGACTACTGGATGTTCATTTTTTGCTCTCATAATCAAAGCCTGAAGAAGAGCTTTGTATAATCTGAAAACCTGCTTCCACTGTTACAGAAAACTAATTGTCAGGGACTGGGCAGAGGAGGAATGGGGAGACCCCCTCCCCATCCTGACCCTTCCAGGGAGGAGGAAGCGGAAGACAGTATAGATTTACAACAGGTGTTTGTGGGAGATCACAGCCCAGAGGCAGATGAGGGGGAAAGTTTGGAAATAATGGGAAAGGAGGAGCAGGCAGAGCTGAAAGTCTTTATACTTTTCTGGGCAACCAACTGGGAGCAGCTGACAGCACCCTCACACAATATTTCTGCTTTTTCAGCTTGTTGTTCACTGTGGTGGAATCTAGACACACACACACAAGAAATGCGGTGAAAATGTTTTGGTTTTTTTTAAATATATATATATAATTTGCCCTAAGCTCACCATCTCCATCTGGTGTCACATTTCTATAATGCACTTAAAACACAATATTTGCAGCTGTATAGCTGAGTCCTATGTTCAGTCTTTTCAGCGGCTTGACTGAGGAATCTTTGTTTCTACACATAGTTTGTTGTTTGTTTTTATATGTTAGTTTAAAACAGCATCTGACACAAGCATGAAAGATCTGCATGAGGGAAATCCAAACCGTCATGTTGAGGTGTTCATTAAAGATCCTTGTTAATGGTTTCTGAAATCCCAGCTAAGATGTAATTGAGCAACTGCCCGGAGTTGACCCAGTGCTGTTTCATTTTCTAAAAATGTTTATGATTAAGATTAAGTTAAGGTGCCAGGTGTTGGGGCTACTGGAAAGGCTAGATTACTGTCTGGAATTTGAAGGTCCATTGAAGCTGGTCTCCCCATACATCTGACCATTTATAATTCTCTGATTTCAAACATGAGAAGAAGAGTTACACCCATCAGAAATCTGAGAAGGGCAATGGGGAACATCATTCTAAGTGTTGTTTTTTGACCTGCTTCGTAATTGATGGAAGAAACTTGTCCACATTCTGGACACCTTATAAGCTTGGTCATCGTGGATGAGGAAGCCTTACAGTTTCTGGCGCAGTCCAAGAGGGCAAAGTTCAGGGACATCTCTATGAACCTGCCTGAGGATGTTGCTGCAAGCACAAATTAATGATCTGTGGTTAGCAATGCTTGTGGTCTGCTTGCAACTACATCAACTAAATGTTTTGTTAGGTTAAAAAGCTACTAGCGGAACAGACTAGCCCAAGGTCAATTGCAGCATTGTGAATTAAATCAACACAAATATGTTGGTTGTGCGTATTTATGATGATGGTTTTCTGTAGTACCATCAATATTTTGTGATGCTTTATGGCATAATATAAGCAAAGCAGCTAGGCTCCTGCCCCAACAACCTTACATTGCAAATATTGACAATGTGGAGAGAAACAACTTAGAATATTGGCGAAGTTTTCCCAAGCCAGTCTTGAGTAATGAATGGATGTGAACCTTAAAAAGCTTCCAATCTTTACTTCACTGCAGATTTTGATCCAAGCTGGGTGAGAATGCCACAGTAGAAGGGGGAAATTCTGAAGATGATGTCAGAACCCACTCTTGAAATCTCCCATTACAATCCATTTGTGCCATTCCTACTGGACCCAGTGAACTGAAGCCATTCCATTAGGCCAGCCTTCCCCAACCTGGTGCCCTGTAGATATTCTTACACTACAACCCACACCATCCCAGTTCATTGGCCATGCTAGTTGAGGCTGATGAAAGTTGTAGCCTTGGAGAGCCTTATAATAATTTAAAAAAAATTATTTGTACCCCACTCATCTGACTGGGTTGTCTCAGCCAATAGGTTTCAGAAGGCTGTTTTATGTCCTCTTTGGAAGGGGCAAAAGAGGCTGCCGAGGCAATTTCCAACATCAGTAAGAGAGCAATTTCCACTGGTCATAAATGCCGTTAAAGGTCCCTTTCCCCAACTTTTTAGGCTTCCTTCCATTAGTTGATTGCCCCATATGGAACCATTAAAAAACGCTCCAGAGAGGGGCATAATTTTCAAAGCCCTCACTTCAGATTACCTGCCAATAAATATCAGAGTTGGTCAGAGGTCCCTTTACCTTTAAATATGAGAGTTGCGATATTTTCCCCCTCCCCCAAAGAACAGGTAATTTCCAGGTTATTCTGAGGGGAGCCTTGGGATGCTTATCTATCTCTCAAAATAACAAAGTGAACACGGAATGAGAAAAGACAAGGGTGGTGGCTTGAATATAAAGCACGAGGCATGAAAAGTAGCAAATGCATACGATGCCTGAAACATCACTTACGGAACTTGAGTAAAAATATACTGCATGAGAAACCAGCCAGTTATATGTACAGCCGTACCTAGGAAGTCAAATGGAATCCGTTCCGGAAGTCTGTTCCACTTCCAAAGCATTCTAAAACCAAACCGCAGCTTCCGATTGGCTGCAGGAAGCTCCCGCAGCCAATCAAAGCTGCAGGTGCCCTGTCAGACATTCGGGTTCCAAAAGAATGTTTGCAAACCAGAACAATCACTTCTGAGTTGGCAGCTTTCGGGAGCTAAAACATCCAAGTTCCAGGGTGTTCGACAACCAAGGTACCACTGTAATGTCCTTTGATTTAGCTATTGATCTAGAGCACCCTAAGGACCAACTATGGGAGCCAGTATCACTGACATGGAAACTTTGCACATTTTTCTGCCCATCCCCTCCAGAAGTTCTTGTCTCAACATGAGATCCATCCATAGGCATGCTGGTATGACCTCAAACCTGTAGCATATGGATTGGGCCTTAGAGCTCTTGGGATTTGCTTTAATCTTGGCAGAATATTGATACCTCTTAAACTGTGCTGTTTTTACTGTGTGCACTTTCCTACAGAGCTATTAACCATCCATAAGAGCAGCATAAAACCATATATGTTTATAGAAATCTGTTGGAAATTTTAAGCTGCATTTTTTAATGGCTTCTACTGGTGTTTTAAATACTGCAATTAATCACGGAATGAGTCTCAAGTCTACTGGAGTGCAGAATGATATTGAATTTTAAAAGTATGACTAGGCAGAAAAGGAATACTGTGCCCTTGGAATTAAAGTCCTAGCGTGGAATCTATGAAAGTAATTTTATAGGAAGAATCAATTTTGGGGATCCCTTTTCATCTCTGTATAGGTTACACTGAAGGACCAAAAATGAGTGTCTCCAATGACCTACTGAGGAAAGCTCATAATGATGTCTTTGATTTTTCGGTTCTCCAGTGTCTAAAATTCTCCATATAAAATGAATCTGTTTCATAGCAAAGTGTTTATTGCCAGCTTTCCCAAACTTGCTTACTTGATTGCTTTGGGGTTTTCAGGAATCACACGGCAGGGAAAATTACCCTTCTGGGTCTCATTACAAACACCATCATTAGCCAGTCCTTTTTGACAGGCCTGGTGGTTACGTAGTTTGATAAGCTTGGTGTGGTTTTCTGCTAATCAAAGTGTTGTTTGGCAGTCATAACCAGCAGACACACACAGGGGGTATTTGATTACGTAACTCTTATGGAAGACAGAAAGATGTCTCTCCCAGGGTGTATACAATCAGTCAATTATCCCCCACCCCAACTGGAACTGGACCAAGATTTGCTGAGATCAGGATGAATGTGAATTCTGAAAAGAATGACTATTTGAGCTGCTGAACCTTCATAACTGCATTAAAAAAAATTGCAACAGGCTCCTTTATGTCTGCTTATGAATTCATTACATCTTTCATTAATTATAATTCTACCATTTTATTTTATTGAAATTCAGCTTGTATGCAACATAATGCAGAACATGAACCAATTCATGCCACATGCAGCTCATGACTTAAACTTTGACTGCATGGAGAATTCCTTCTTCCAAAATGTGTGGCTTTCTCGTCCAATTTCTGTAAATCTATAGGTTGCTCAGATGATGATGATGATCAAATTAGCATACCACTTTTTAATCCAATGATCACAGGGTGGTTCACAGCATAAAAATACAAAATTGATTGATTGATTGAATTTATATACCGCCCTGTACCCGGAGGTCTCAAAAGAATATACATTATAGAACAAGAACAAAAAAAGAAACCAAGATCTTCACTCCCACAAACGTATTTAAAAAGCCACAGAATATTCTTACTGAAATACAATATAAGGAAATGTTAAATGAGGTAATAAAAAAAGAGAAAAAGAAAGATATGAAAGAAATGGGTAAAAAGGTCTTACAGCTATCCATCTGTCAGTTATGTATACAGTAATTCTTCAAATTCGTCAAATGTTTAATCTAGATTAATATTCAGCTGTTCCTCCCTCTGCTGAACATACTTTTCCAATCTTCATAGAATCTCTGTGACCAGGCCTTGGGCTGATTGAATAAACACTTTTGCCTGGCACCTAAAGATATGTAATGAAAGATCAGGCAAGCATTCTTGGCAAGATCATTCCACAAATGGCAGCCTCATAAGACTTGACAGCTTCCTTGAATTTCTTTCACAGGAAGAAACTGGAGAGTTTGTGTGCAAGCACACAATAGAAATGCAACTTTTTCTATAGCTTCTCATTTTTTAAAAAATAAATAAATTGTAAAAGTAATTTTCTGACCTCTGGGTATTTTGGACTACAATTCTAATTAGCATTGCTTAATACACAGAAATGATGAGTGTCATACTACAAAATGTCTTGAGAGGTGACGGGGAAGGGAGAGGTTGCTATGATAGATTCAGGGCGGCAAGTTTTCTTGTTCAAGTTTGATTTTGCTGCAAACCACCACCTCCTCCTCCTCCTCGCTCAATTTGTGGTCACACAGGTGGTGCTGTGGGT